TTTCTAATTTCTCTACTGTTAAGCTTTTGTGCACTGGGAGTAATACATTTAATAATCCTTATTATTTAGGCTATGATTTAAATGAAAGAGCAAAATATCTATCATGTCATTCAGCTTGAAAATTAAGAATTACATAGCCACTATCATACAGTAAGCCACACTCCATGTCTAGTATACATTGTCAATAAAACTCATTACAATAACCATCACAGTGGGACATCTGCCTTATTCAGTTCACAATCCATTCATCAAAATCAATACTTAGTTTCTCCTGAAGACCGTTATCTTCCATCTGCAAATTTTCACCATTTTCTTACTCTTGGCAAGACCCATTTCAAAACAGATTGACACCAAAGTTTTTGGCAACAGAATATATTAACAGATTTGTCTATCCTAACTAAATAATGAACTGATTTTCGTCTGCTTGCTTAAATAAGTAAATGCTATGGATGAAAACTGAAAAGAGTCTTCTTTATTTTTTTCATTCTCAATCAGATACTTTGTAGAGGTCATAGACTGTCCACTATGCGTTGTACAGCAAAGAAACCTACATAAAAATCTTTCAAGATATCTGAGCTGAAGTAATAAGAAACAATCTGGGTGGAGCTTTCAGTCTCAGCTTAAGTGCAAAAAATAGCATCAACAGAGAATGAATCAAAAACAAAAATACAACCACCGACTTCCTTATTTCGATGATCACATTTGTATTATCAGAGCATCAGTCAATACGACTTCTAAAATATGACCTATAATATATTGGCAATCTGCAATAAAGCTTACGATCCGATAATTTGTTTGTTTTGAGAATAAAATCAGATTAAAACCACTTACTTCATCCTGATAAAACTGGACAATTTGTCCGCCATGTTGAATTACAAATCTGTGAGGTAATACGCATACTGACGAATCGTTTCGCGGAAAATCTAAAAATTGGCACATATTGTGATGACGTATAACACGAAATTTGAATTTTGAAAACAACGGTATAAGGGAGGCTACTCCATTTAAGATTTTACTTTTTCTATATAGACTATGGACAACAATTAAATAGCTTTGAAAAATCTGTATACTACAGACAACAATTAAATAGCTATGAATAATCTGCATGCTGTCCCTTACTTTATGCAAAGTCCCCTTTTGGAGAATAACATATTGTACTATTATCGAGACTATTATAGGGCTATCGCTGATAGACCATTTTGTTTTTGGTTAAATTAGAAGGAAAAATCGTTCTTTCATTAACATCATTTAATTACATTTTTCAAATACCGTCCGATTTCCAAATTTGTTCATCATTACCTTTTATTCCATCTATCCATTACGACTGAGATAGACAACTCATTATTGCCACTTAAAATTATTAATTTGTCCCCATGGGCTATTTAGATATATAACACCAGAACAACAAGTATAATGTGAAAGACTCTTGAGGGTTGTATTGATCTATATGAACCTAAGATGTTAAATCATTTTACAAGGTAAAAATATCTCCTGTCTCGAGTTTATTATAAATTTACTACCGGTATCTTATAATTTTATTGATTATCGACTTCAGGTTTCTTCACTCAACATTGCTTATCAAAACCTTGAGTACTGGCTTTCTTCTACTTTGTTTTCAACTTTCTTCTTGTATATCAGGTTTAAATTCATTTGATCTTTGATTACTAGCAAACACACCCTTTGATGGCAGTGTTTAGTGTCATTAGAAAACTGTCGTCTTGGAAATAGAGCACTCATGGATAACTTAAATCATTAATTACAACTCGGTAACATTCCTCGGTATCGTTTCTATGTATCATTATCATGTTATTTTTCTCTATTAGAAGGATGGGGGTTGAGAGTAGGGAAACACAGAAATGCCAAATGAAGATTATTTGTTTGTACTTATGCTTATATATATTGATGAGATATCTATCATGGAAAGCATGGAACTCGTATATTGTTAACTACAAGCGTTTCAGAAAGTGGAAAGTGATTCCCATCTTAGAAGAGATTTATCAACATGGTAGAACATCTTCATACATTAATATTCATTTAAACACGGTTAGTTTACTTTATACATGTCTACAAGACACTGTTACAGGAATCTCATTTCTCAGTTTACATCAATATTTTTAACAGGGTAAAGATATAGCAGCTGTTCTCTGATGGATTGTTTTGTTTTTTAATCTGAAAATAGAAATTCTGTATACCAGTTCGTAAAATATCAATCTGTCATTGTGAATAGTTTTTAAATTAAACACGAATCTTGAATTCTCACGATCGGTGCTGGCCCTAGGAAACCCCATCTGCCCACTTTGGTACCATTTCCCCCACCGTCAGCAAAATAAACAACTAAAACCTTCTAAGCACGGCTCAGTCGGCTCAGATTATTAACACACACGACAGAGAGGTTTGTATTTTGTAGCTCCGTTGATTTACCGATTCAATTCAGTCATAAATGGCCAAAAGAACCAGTTGGTAGGAAGGATCATCAGAAATTAATTGCTTCCTTTGTTATTCTATAGATCTCTTCTTACTTTCAAGAAAGAACAAAAGATTAAAATACTATATGCTAGATATTTCTATCACTTTTGTCTCTGTAGGTATTTTCTCTACACTGGCCGTTAAGCTCTAAAATAAGCAAAACAAGTTACTTTTAAAGCTGAATTTAAATTTCAGAATGACTCAGTCCAACAACCCCAAATTATCATGCGTTTACCTCAATACCTGTATTTATAATCACACTTAACCCATTGCTATCATTAACAGATTTTTACACTAATAACTTTCATCCCAAAATCTTGGAAATTGATCAAAAATGTTGATTACAGTAACAACTCTGTTTTTTGTCAGTTACCAAGTTTTTTGATAGCATATTACAACATTTAATGGGTTCTGAAATCAGCTGCTCCTGTTCTCACATCTTACATGGTCTGTTATGAGATATTCTTCCTAAGAATGTTCTTGGCTGTTTTTCTTTTGACTAGCAACATAACGTCTTCGGTTCTGAAATAGACTCTTGCTCACTACTTCCGGTCGGTACCCTAGATTATTGTAAACAAATTGGACATCAGATTTTCAAAATATTAATCATCTTTGAAACAATATATGTAACAAATGTCGAAGTCGAAATTTCTAATATTCAGATGAATTCTCAGTTACTGATGTTCAAGTCCAAGTTTCTGACGCTCAAATCTGAGGTGTCTACGATGTTCAAGCCTAGGTTAATCTGAGTAGTTTTCCACCAAAGGGTTGGTTAAAATACTATCTTTGGGACGGACCATTAGATTACAATGTTAACAAAATATATCAGAAAAAAATTTCGAAATTGATCGAGGTTATCGATGCTGAAGCCTGTTGAAGATGCTGTTTATAGACAGGCTGGTGTTCACTGTTCAGGTCAAAGCTATTGATTGTTCAGGTCAAGGCTATTGATGTTCATATTCAGTTTATTCATGTTCCAGTTCTGTATATCCATGTTTAAGTCTAGTTTATTGTTGTTCAAGTTCAGTTTATTGATGTTCAAGTCTATTTTATTGATGTTCAAACTTAGTTATTCATATTCAAGTCTATTTTATTGATGTTCAAACTTAGTTATTCATATTCAAGTCTATTTTATTGATGTTCAAACTCAGTTATTCATGTTCAAGCTCAGTTTATTGATGTTCAAGTTCAGGTTGATGGTGGTCTAGTTTATACTTATACCAAGTATTGCTTAAGAGCATTTGTCCGACATGTTAGACGGTGTTCGTGTCTCTAGTACATATATTTTTCTCAATAAGTATTTCTTCATTTCCGAGGTTTAGGTCCAAAGGTCAAAGATAGTTATTGATATATTCTGCAACATGTGATTCAGAAACAAGTTTACTGTTAAAATAAGACTAGACTATGTGTTATATTGAAGCTATAGAGACGACTGTACAATTGTTTTGGACTAATGCCATTATTCAGTTATAATATTGTAGAATTCAAATCAAATTCAAATTACAAGTTATTACCCTGTCAAATCATCTACTCTTCTTATTATCTTTACCAGACAATATAATAATACCCTAGTTTTAAATTTAACTCCATATTTTTATTCTACCAAGGTCTGAATATCAGTATGTAATTCGGTTTCAACTTGAATAATATAAGTTCTGAGACGCAGGATATTCTCATCCTTCCGCATCAGTATCAGTATGTCACTCCGATATCGTGTATGCCAACTTTTGAAGCTAATAGTTAGTAAGGATTGAAGGATATTTATATCTGTTGCATGGTAAAAAAATAACACAATTTTTCTTTGTATTAGTCTAAGGTTTATGGACGTTGAAAAACAATGAATAAAAAAGAACGTGGTACAGGGATGAAGAATTAACTATGGAACTTTTCACACTATCATCAGGTATTTAGAAACAATGTGCTACCAGTTTCAGTTGACAAGATGTTTTGAGGCATTTACAAAAATTTCTAATGTTTTATTTTATATATAGGCCTACAGATCAACAACAAAAAATCTCAATATTCAATTCAGAAATTATGGAGATCAATTGCTTTACTTTGGAGGCTAGGCTAGAGTTTTGTGAACTCTGTAAATGTATTAAGGGTTTAAGCGTGGAATAATCATTGTTAAAACGACTTGTTTGAGATCGGAATAATAATATGACTATATTCAACTATATTTGCACTAAAAACCCGTTGATTTGAACCATGTTCTCATTTATAGATTCCATTGTAAACTCTAAAGCAACGTAAGCACATTTTTTATTACTAGGTCAGTCGATATCACACACATATAAAAATAAGACATTAACAATATTCTATACTTTGAGCATTTAATCTGGTTTATGTTTTATTTTCTGATATATATTTAATATACTAGTTGAGAAATCTTGTAATAACTTTATCACAAAAGTTCTGAATTCAGATACACATTTCCAAAATAACGTTTCCACATAGCACTTTAAAAACCGTTCTTTATGAATAATCCGAGTCATTTCCGACGACAATAGTCGTATAACACCGATATCTCGCGCTAAATCTATAGGCAATTCTGATTGGCCAGTTGTTTGAAATACGTCAGCACCGAACACAACCAATAAACTCACAATTTGTAACCACCCGCACGCCGCAGCCGTATGAAGCGGAGTGAATCCGTGTACGTCCTGAGAATTCACATTGGCACCCTGACAGAGTAAAATTTTCACAGCGTCCATATTGTTACTAAGGACTCCATAATGAAGAGCGGTTAATCCCACGTGATTCGTCATTTCGATGTTCACTTCGTCTTTTGTATCAGTGAGTATGCGCAGCAGTTCGGGTGTGTCGCCATCTTGTACGACGGCTGCAAGGACGGAGTCTGGCGGGAAAGATATCTTACGTCTCGCCATTTTGAATTTGATTTCACTTAAACTACAATTCTACTTTAATCTGACTTTAAAGGTTACGCAAAACTCGTAATAACTTCATTTTTACGCACTTCACACCTTTTCGACACTTCAAACTTATCGTTATTGCCTGTCGCGAAAGGAAAACACATCCAATAATAGTTTCTATAACGGTCGAAATAAACACTACAAGAAACCTATTTAGTTAATAGATTCTCAATTCATATTCTTCACTACAATTTCCATATTCACTATCCTTATTATTTCCCAATACACTCTCTAGCCTATCACATATCAAATCTAGCTAATATCTAAATTGCCTTAAACGATGAGAGGATCGATAAGGATTTCTAGCACTGTTCGACAATTATCCGACTAATCAACTCAATATCTGTCAGTCGTGGATATCACCTTATTAAATCCTGATTGACAATTACAGTGGTGTTTTATACCTCTTGTTAACGTTGGTGTCCGTTTCAAGAAAGATTGTTAACATTGAGTTAAGAATGTGATCTATTATTTCCAATGTTTGAATTTGTGTCAGCTTCCACTAAACGTTACCCTTTAGTCCAGAACGACGATATGGAACTCTTAATGAGTCTAATAGTCAAATATCACCCACCATAGGATTTCTGAAGAAAAGATCGTTAAAATTTAGTTAAGAAACGAGATCATTGTAATCGTGAACTTGTTTGAATTGTTGTCCACTTCCGCCTTTTAGTCCAGAACGTAGATATGGAACTCTTCATGGACCTTATAGCAACAAATCAATAACAACGTATCTGATTTCCGAAAATATCAGATTGAGTTAAGAAACGTGAAATTATTTTCGTTTTATTGCTTGAATTCACTAAATGTAACCTTTTAGTTCAGAACTCGGATATGAAACTGTTAATGAATCTTTGAGTCACAAATCACCCATTGAAAATCTGATAAGTCTCATCAGTTGAATGGTAATTGACTGCGCAAGTGATTTACCACAGAGCGATTTATGATCAAAATGAGAAATATTGAAGACGAATAGCTGTTTTATCTTGAAAATCAGTCAAATTACAGATTTATTGAACGTGATTTCAAATACACTAGTCTTGCAACACTGGTTTGGAAGTGACGGTTCCTAGAATCGATATTGTAAAGTGATACTTTTCAGATGATTCTCGTGGACAATCTTGACTTATTGTTTGTAGATTCATAGGATAACAGGTCCATAGGAAAATGGGCAATCGATTAAACACACAACAGCAAGCAATTTAAAACATACAAGATTTTCAAAAGCCTTGCGAAGAATAAGCGCATTCAGTATCAGATAGCATCAGAGGCCACTAAACGCGTCAGATAGCACTAGATAACATTAGATTAGGTCAGAGAGCATTGATCATTGAGTAAAATGGTCCGAATCTCCTTCTGCACTTTAAAATATCCGGTCTCCCATGGCCTTATACTTCAACATCCATTCATAACTGATATCAGTAGAGATGAAGTCCCAGAAACACCAGACAGACATCATCATCCCACAGGACTCTTTAACAACCCTTTATAATTTACTTACAGATTTTAAACCCACGCTAAGATATATGCATTAGCCCTGGGTTTAAATTCTTACAGTATCAATGGTATATCAATAGAGGGATTATGGTTGTCTGGGTTGACAGTAACTCCAAGCACAGATTATTTCTCAGTGCATGATCTGAAATACCACAATGGCCATATTGTTGACCGGTGTAATAAGGCGAGTTGGTATTTGGTTTAGTCGTTGTCTGAAGTGATAAAGTATAGTAAGCTTTGGTTTGGTTGTTGTCTGCAAGTTGTTTGATTCCTCCTAGAGATTTCTGATACCAAGTTCAAGGCTGTCGGTGACCTTTCGAGTATCGACGCTTTGAATGTTCGTGTTGAGTTCAAGAGGAGAATATTACTACAAAATTGGTTTTGTAGTTTCACAGCACACCATGAACATGAAGAAACAGTTTCTTTCGGAGATGTAACGAACTCTGGTTTAGACTGAAATGCTAGTCTCGTAGTAATATGTAAGTTCCAAAAGAGACTAAAAGTGATGGATTTATAAATAGTAAATGCCACTCCATATTCAATTTCGATGCACAATGAGAAATATTATAAAGTATAATATGTTGATACTGAGATGAACTCTTAAATACCAAATGACTAATTATTATTCATCAATATTTGAACTGTCAATTAAACTATACTCATTATTTCGTTCTTGTTTTATCGTTGCTAAGAAACAGATTTAAATCACCTTGTACATGATCTGGTAGATGTTTAAACAGTGTATTGTAATGTTTTATTACTGATTTAATACAAGATTAATTCATTTACAATGAGTTGGAAATAGTTTTCGCGCTAGATTAATTTGTGAATAATTCTAAAAGGATGAATATATCACTTTTGTTCATTGAAGGTTGTTAAAACTTTAATCCTATGTATAAAAAAAAACTTATTCCACCATTTACGCTTCGTTGTTCGAACATATATCGAGAATCAGTCTTCGCCACATAAAATACTACATTTACTACACGAGATAGAACAATTACACAGCATTAACCTATGTTCTAATTGTAACCGCCATCAATCTGTGTTCATCTCAACAAATGCTCAATTCATGTCTGTTTGTCCTTTCACCAATCACCTAGGCATTCAAATGAGGACAGTAGTAAAAAAATATCCATGTTTTCTATCAGAATCGTTTCTCCCTCACTGCCAGTTGTAATCTGAAAAGAGAAAAAATAACCCAATCTATTAGCAGGAATCACGCTTCATGAATTTTGATCAGAAACTTTCCTCTATGACATGTCACCTCGTTCTTTCAAAATATAGCGATCAATGATTTGTTTCGGGTCGAGTAAACTTGGAAATCAAGCATTCCTGTAGATATTCGAGTGACATAACGCTTGAATGAAGATTTGCTTGATAAACACATTGCATCGCATCGCAATTTTTACACCATACCCACAGTTATCAATGGAATTACCATAGTATTATAGTAGTTCATTAGCAAAGCATTCAGTAGGAGAACCGCATGGTAATAAATTTCCTTAAAGAGAGAGTATCTCTAGAAATACAAACATGTCTATACTCTTTAAAGTTGGTGGTATACATAATACCAGTGGCAATGGCACACTGTGGCTCCGTCATCTGTGGTCTGACGACACTTAGATACACAAATTATGGGAAGACTAATACAATTGTATAAATGTATTTTAGGGATTGTAAAGAGGTTTTCCAGCTTTTGTTGTGTATTCGGGTCATTTATTAAGGCTCCTGTTTCATTTCAATTTGGCGTCAGATGTCTGTGGTTCCTATAATTTTAGAAACGCCCATCCGAACCGCAAATGATGTCGCTATGGCAAAGGCTGCTAAGAATATCTAAGGGTTTGTGCGATAGCTAAGTCATACAATGCGTACAAAATCTTGCAAGCCTTTAGTGCCTTTCAAATCCAATACAATTGTGATCAAACTAAAAATAGAAATCTAGCATTTTTAAAACGTAATATTGGATATTAAATTTTAAATGAAACCTAAAAAAGATCAGATATTGCCTGGAGAAAAAGTTAAAACTGATTGAAGTCGACAGAAGAAAGCTGGCAAGTTATTGATATCACTACGAACCTGGTATATGATTGAGGCAATAATTCACCGTCTAACTATTGAGTTGTTGTTTATTGATTTGATTTAAAACTATTTACTGTCACTTCTGAGCAGTGCATGGACTAACAAAGCGATGTGCCTCTCTTATATGTAGGGTTTTAAAATTGGGTGACTTCGGCTTTGTTTGTGGGTTAGTATTAGTTTAAGGAACGCAAGGTCGGATGATTCTGACGCCATTAAATCGTATTCTTATAATCAACGCTTCGAATTTACATCTTATCAAAGACAAAATAAAAATCTGTCTAGCATTAATACTGAAATAGGAATCTAGATGTTTCTTCTTTGTTTAATAGCTCAACTAGATATTTGACTATTGGTTAATTTGGTCTCGAAAGATTCGAATATTATTTAATTTTCACAATGTCTTATTATTCTTAAACCAACGGATAACCATACAACTTGAATTAGTCACCGATGATTGTTGGTAAGATTTATCAAACAAATTAATACTAATCACTACCTAGGGCTTTATCAGACTCGACTATAGATATTTTAAATTGTTACAGACTAGGCCTTCTAGCCCCACAGTTACAATTATTATTATAAACTAGTGTCCAAAAGAAACGATACCACCTGTTTGCAACGACATAAAAGAAAAACTAAACAATGCAGAAGTTTAGGATTGGTGTTATGCTTTTGAGAAATCCTTTCACAACATCTGTACAAAAATTTCATTTCAATAAAATCTGTACAACCAATATGACAAGCCTTTAAAGATGGGTGGGGTCGAAAATAGAACATTTCGTTAGAGCACTGATCACAGAAACAACGGGAAATGTCACACCACACGTCACAAAGTCAAGTCAGTAGCGGGTATGTCCACCGTGAGCATCAATACATGCCAGAACACGCCTACGGACTGATGCCGTCAAACGTCGGATGACGTTGGGAGTGATTCGTTGCCATTCCTCGAGGAGACATCGTTCCAAGTCCTGGACGTTGACTGGAGGCACACGGCAAAGTCGGATTTGCCGATCGAGGTGGTCCCATAAGTGCTCGATGGGATTCATGTCCGGTGAACATGCGGGCCATGGCAAAACCTGTACGTTGGCGTTGGCAAGGAAGTTCTGTGTCAATCTTGCTGTGTGTGGCCTTGCATTGTCATGTTGGAAAAGGAGTCCACGAGGCTGTTGCTGAATAAAGGGCACCACAACAGGCCGTAGGATGTCATCAATATAACGCTGTGCATTCAGGTTTCCACGAATTACGACAAGCCTCGTTTTGACGTCACCACATACGAACGACCGGATCTGTTGGATAAAGTTAGGCGCCAAACGTTCACCAAATCGTCAGTATACAAGCTGCCGTCCATCGTTTTTGAAGATGAG